ATTTTAGCAAAGTTGCAGAATACTAAATAAATCCACATAAATTATCAGCATTTCTATATATCACTAGCAAAACTCAGAAGGAAGAATTAAAAAGAGAAATGATGCAATAAAATATTTGGGAGAGTATCTACCGAGATGCTCCCAGGAACTATATGAATCCATCTATAAAGTACTTTGCAGAAATAAATACAGACATAAATGATTGGAGAAACATTCATTGCTCACAGGTAGCTTGAGCCACTATAATAATGATAACATTAAATTAATTTATTTAGTGCTATAACAATCAAATTTCCAAAAGAACACTTTCTAGACCTAGAAAAAAATAACAATTCATATGGAGAAACAAAAGGTAAAAAATCTCAAGGGTTAATGGTATTTTTTTTTATGAGAAGGAAGGGGGCCTATCAATAGCAGGTCTCAGACTGTATTACAAAGCAGTAATCACTGAACACCATTTGGTACTAGTTTTGGGGGTTTTGTTTTTTGTTTTTTTATTAAAGAAGAATAGGATTAATCACTGGTATAGATTTAGGTACGTGCCATAAGGAAGTAAACAAACACAGTAGCAGAGAGTTTGAGTAAATCAAAGATCCCAGTTACTAGGGAAAGGACTCACTATTTGACAAAAATTACTGGAAAAACTATCACTTATTCAGTCATGAACTCTTCCCCTATTCATCATTCATAGCACATAGTACATAGAAAAGTAATTTCTTCTTTACAGTATTTGATGAGCATGAAAGAAATTACCTTTCAAAACTATGAAGAGTTCATGACTCAGCAAGTGAAAGAGAGGACCACACAAGAGAAAATGAACTATTTTGGATACTTAAATTTTAAAGTTTTTACACAAACAAATTTAATGTAGTAAAATTTATTGGGAAAATTGGTAAGTGGAGGGGAAGAATCTTTGCAGCAAGTTTTTTTTTAATAAAAGTCTCACGTCTAAGATATATAAAAAACAATATTTAACCATTCCCTAGTAAATGAATGGCTAAAGGATATAAACAGGCAGTTTTCACAGGAAAAAATCTAAGCTATCAAAAATCATGAGGGGGAAATGCTGTAAATCACTAATAATCAGATTCACATTATGGCAACAGATTGGTAAAGATAACAAAAGAGGAAAATGACAAATGTTGGAGAGTTGTGGGAAAACAGACACACTAATACAACTCTTGGTAGAGCTATTTTGAAATGCAATTTGGAACTATGTCCCAAAAGATACCAAAATGGGTTATGTTTTAACCTCAACTATACCACTGCTAGGCCTATGCCCCAAAGAGATAAAAGAGGAAAAAGATCTATATGTACAAAAATATTTATGACAGCTCTTTTCATGTTACACAAAAATTAGAAACTAATGAGGTATCTTTCTATTAGGGAATGGCTAAACAAATTGTTGTTGTATATGAATGGGAATAGAATATTATTGTGCCATGAGAAATTATGAAACTGATGTGATGATGCAGTAAAATTCTGAAAAAAGAAGACTTTTATGAACTAATACAGAGTGAGCAGAAGTAGAAGAACAGTTTTTACAGTGATAACATTATAAGGAAAAACAACTTTAGAACTCTGATTAATGTAGTAATAAACCAAAAGGATGAAGATGAAACATCAACTCACCTCCTGATAGAGAGGAGAGTAACTTAAAATCTAGAAAGAGACGTACATTTTTGGATGCAGCCAGTGGGAGGATTTTTTTGTTGGGCTATGTATTAAAGGCTTTATCTCTCAGACTTTTTTTTTTTAATTTGTTCAGTTAGGAGAGAAGGGTTAGTGAGAGGGACAAATTATTTTTTTTTAATCAAAGCTAAGTTTTTGCATCTTTCCTCCCTAAATCTCTCTCTCCTTGAACCTTCACTATTTCTGGTAATATTCACTATTTTAGGAATTTCCTATTGGTAATATTTTATAAACCCTGTCTACCATATTAAAAATCTTAAGCTTACTCTTGATTCTTCTCTCTGACTCACCTTTTATTCACACAGTCCTGAAGCACTTACCTCCTTTCTCTCAATTTCTGTTACTCCCACCCTAGTACTAGCATTCTTTACCATTTACTAGTACTGTTGCATTAGCTTCCTGACAGGTCTTCCTGCTCCCACTCTCTGTCCCTTGCAATCCTTCTTTGACACTGCTGCCAAAATAATGCTGCTATTGCTTGTATCTGGGCACTTTTCTGTTTCAAAAATCTTCCATGAGTCCCTGTTGGCTCTTGGAGAAAGTTCTCGTTATTCCCCTTGGCAGCTGAGGCTCTGATTATCCTTTTGTTCTTAAGATACTCTGTCTAAAGAATGATTACTCACCAGATAGATAGCATTCTATGCCAAGTTCCTCAACTGTTCTGACCTAGGAACACCCTATTACCGCCAGTTCTGAGACATGCATGTCTATGGGTTCATTATAATACTGCATGTCATTCTATACCTAAAGTACTTTAGCAATCATCCATATTGTATGACTATATCTAACCAAACAAAGAAGTTAGCGTATCCAAATATATAAATTTCAACATCCTGCTTCCCAGAGATCATAGGATTTAGGGAGGGAAGAAATATTGTCAGTTATCTAGTCTAACTCTGTCATTTCACAGATGAGGAAGGAAGCTCAGGTGAAATGATTTGTGGTCAGACTCAGCTTGTGAAAGCTACATCCTTAGTAAGCAGCAGAGTTAGGAAGCAAACCGGAGTGTTCAGATGCTAATTCAATACTTTCAGTAGCCAAGGAAGGGAGTCTGCCTACAGTTGTCCTTTATATGTAAGAGATTGACTGTTGGTGCCTTCTTTTCATGGATGAGATTATGACTTAAATTAGCAAGACATTATTCAATTACCCTTAAGTTGTAAGGGAAAAAAACATGTCTTAAACTATGTAGGATTTAAAAAAAAAATTTTAATTTTAAAGTAAAGAAAAAAAAAATTTTAATCCCACACAGTTTAAGAATATGTTGTTTTTTTCATAAGTGCAAATACAACAGACTCTTATCCTCACATACCAGTCAAAATAAGACCCTCTTTCTCATGGATAAACATCATGGCCTAGATTACAGGGGTGGGGAACCTGCGACCTCGGGGCCACATGTGGCCCTTTAGGTCCTCAAGTGCAGCCCTTTGAATCCAAACTTCAAGAACAAATCCCCTTAATAAAAGGATTTGTTCTGTAAAACTTGGACTCAGTCAAAAGGCCTCACCCAAGGACCTAGAAGGCCACATGTGGCCATGAGGCCACTGGTTCAAACTAACCTTGAAACCAGGAAGACCTGGGTTCATATTCTATCTCTGAGATAAATTGTGTGTCTCTGGGCATGTTACTTAAGGCAACTCTCTGGAAGCTTAAGTTAGGACCTCCTTGAGGTCAGGCAATGTCTTTCTTTTAGGTTGTTATGTGTATCCTCAGTGTTTAGTACAGTGCCTGGCAATTGTTTAAAAAGTGCTTCCCAGGATTATTAGTTGCAGAGAAGGTGCTGACTTGCTTTGGTAGAGGTAGTCCCTATCTTGGTGAACCCAGAGCTCCCTGTATAACAGTCACATGTCCCTGTCCCTATCTTTTCCTCATCCATGCTACATTAAAAAACAAATGATCCCCTAAACAGTTTTCTAGGATAAAATGAAGTTTGAATAGACTCACTGAATTATTTTGGTCATTTTTTTTTTTGTCTATATAGAATTCCTTAACACTATAGCTTTTGTGTAGCCAAGGCATTCAAATTGTAAAATGTGAGAAGTCATTTGCTAATTCCTGCTGTTATAAAATATTGTGTAGATTTTTTCTTCCCTAAATTTAAACAAGAAAGTATTTAGTGAGCACTTACTATGTGTCAGGCACTGTGCTAGCTGCTGAGGATACAAAGATTAAAAAGAACATATATATTCCCTTCTCTCAAGGAGCGCATGTTCTATCAGGAGAGACAATGTGTACATATATTAATATATTCAAATAAATAAATTCAAGATCATTTGTGGTGAAGGAAGCCCTAGCAGTGGAGGTTTACATTTTCCTGGTTTGTCTCAGCACCTTCAAGGCCATAAACTAATACTGATAAATTCGGTAGGCTTGCATTGAAGAAAATTAACTATCTTTAGTTTTTAGTATATACATTAATCTGCTCTTCTGACTATAACTAAGGAAGAGATATCAGTAAAGACATTAATCAGGGTCTTATTTAATGTTAACCTTTGTGCGTTGTTAAATTTGCCGCATATTTTTCCGCTTGCATAGTTTAAATTGAATGTCTACCCCCAAACTTGGGAAACCCTGTGAAAGAAAGCTTTTATCCATTAAGTCTTGCTATAAAATATTCAGTTCTGGGCACTACATTGTAGGAAGGCCTTTGATAAGATGGAGAGTGTCCAGAAGAAGGCAGCCAGGATGACGAAGAGCCATGAGCTCATGCTATGTGCAGATCAATTGAAGGAACTGGGGATATTTACCTTGGAAAAGAAAAGGGGTAGGAGAGGAGAAATGTATCCATATTCTGGTATTTGAAACAGTTGAAGGATTCAATTTTTTTTTCTAATCTGCAGAATCAGGAACAGTGGGTCAAAGTTGCAGAGATAAATTTAGGTTCTGAGAAAAAACATCCAAACAATTGAATTTCTCCACAGTAGATAGAGCACTGGGCCTGGAGTCAGGAAGACCTGAGTTCAAATCCGACCTCAGACACTTACCAGCTGTGTGACTCTGGGCAAGTCACTTAACTCTCTGTGCCTCAATTTCCTCATCTGTAAAATGAACTGGAGAAGGAAATGGCAAACCACACCAGTATCTTTGCCCCCAGTGGGGGTCATGAAGAATTGGACACTACTGAAACAACTCAACAATAACAACAAAGTAGAATAGAACTCTTGGGGAAATGGAGGTTCTCCTCTCACTAGAGATCTTAAAGCAGATATGTATACGTTGTAGAAAGTATTTTCTCTCAGGTATTGATTGGATTAGATGACCACTGGAGTCCCTTCCAAATCTAAAATTATACAATTCTGCTATTTCAGATAATCACAGTTGAAGAGGCCAAACGGAGAAAGAGTACTTGCAGTTATTATGAAGAGGATGATGATGAGTCCCTCCCTATCTTAAAACATCATAGTGCTCTCCTAGAGAATATGCACATAGAACAGGTATGAATGGTTATTATTGGAGTAGTAAGAAATCTGTCTTAAAGGATTTAAACAAAATATTTGCATAAAGCCAGAATAGAAGTACCTTTGACATTTAAGGGCAGGATTAGACTACCTGTAGCACAGGAGGCTGGTTTTTGAGTGACACCCTGGCTGGCTTGTCTCTCCATTCATTTTCATGTTGTTGAACTCCTATCCTGTCCTTCAAGGCCCAGTTCAATTGTCACCTCATCCTTAGGGCCCCACCTACCTCCTTCCATCTAGAAGTGATCTCCACTGCTTCTAAAAACATTTTAGAACTTAGTTTGCATCTCATGCAGTTATACTAGCCTGCTTTATGTCAGTCTTAATTTGTGTATGTGTCCAATATGCTAGGCTTTGTATTCAACAAAGAGTAGAAATATATTGCCCCTACAAGTAAAAATTTACAAAGGTAACTGCTGTTGATAGTGACAGAAACCCTGAGAGAAAAATTACCCTCTGGTCTGTGTTCTTGATAGGATTCAATTACTATAATTCTTCCTTTTCCTTCTCATTTAGCTTCCATATGCCTTATAGGAGTAAAATCTTTGTCTCTCAAAGGAGAGAAATTATGCTGATGAGTATGTATGGTTATATGAATTTACTAAAGGGAATTTAATTTTCATCCCTAATGAATATGGAAATTGGAGTAAACTTGAGTGTGTTGCCTACCTCGGGTTTTTAGAGTAATGTTTAGAGAATTTATTTCACTTCTTTCTTTTATTTCATCATCTTTCACTTCAAGCTTGCTCGGCGACTTCCAGCAAGGGTGCAAGGATATCCATGGAGGTTGGCTTATAGTACTATAGAACATGGCACGAGTCTGAAAACTTTGTACCGGAAATCAGCATCTCTCGACAGCCCTGTCCTTCTGGTCATCAAAGATATGGATAATCAGGTTAGAACTACTTACACCTAGTTTTTGCCTCTAAAACCTTCAAAAGAGTTTATATACTTCATCGCTGATTTCCTGGGGATGCATATGGTATTCTAAGCCTTGAAATACTCTACAGGGTGTTTAAGCAAGGGTAAAACTGCAGTAAGACTTTTTGGGACACTGTCTAAAGATGAGTTCTTGTTATTATCCAGATAACCACTTTCACCATACTGCAACAGGAAGAAGGAAGAGGGTTTTAGTGGTTGTTACTGTTCTTTGTTAACAACTAGTGAAAAGTTTGATAGTAAAAGTTATATAGTATATAATGTGTGTGTATATTATGTATGTATATATGTGTGTTGTGGCAGGCATATGTATATGTATATTTTTTAAAAGTTTTTTTTAAATTTTATTTATTTTTAACATTTAAAAAAAATTTTTGAGTTCCAGATTCTCTTCCTCCCTCCTACCCCACCCATTGAGAAGGCAATCAATATTATATCGATAGAATGTATTTTTGAATGTGTGTATAATATACACACCATTCACTAAAATGAGCTCTTAGAAATTATCTTCCTTTCTACCTTAGCCTCTAGTATATAAAAAAAAATGGAAGGGGGAGTAGGGAGGTGATAGGGAAGAAAGAGAGTAGGAGGTGGGGTGGATAGAGAAGGAAAAAAGGAAGATTTGAGGTAATGTGGCATAGTGAATAGAAAGCTAGCTTAGATATCACAAAAACAGTTTCAAGTCTCACCTCTGATATATATTGGTGGTATGACCCTGGGCAAGTCACAAAGTGTCTCATCAGTGCCCTAGGCAATTTTCCAAGAAGAGTAGTTGCCAGTCTGCCTGAGTATTTCCTATATATGTGATAGGAGGTCTAACCAAAATTTATAATGTTATATACATCTACACACATAATACATGGTATAGAGAAAGAGGGATCTTATAGGTATCTATGTATATATCATATCACTACATATAGATGTGTATTTATGATATAGAATATCTATATGATCTCTCTATAAAAATATTTACCATGTATTATGTGTAGGTATATATCATATATACATATATCTATATTGTTGTTGTTGTTGTTTGTCCATTCTCAAAGAGGACCAAGACATCAGGATCGATCTATCTATCTATAGATAGATAGATAGATAGATAGATAAATGTATATCTAGGGGCGTGTGTGTGTGTGTGTGTGTGTGTGTGTGTGTGTGTATCTTTCCCCACCCCCTGGTAGATTGGCATCTGGGCTACAACTTATGTTCTTGGAAAGTTTCCAGGGTACTGAGAGATTTTATGACTTGTCCAGAGTCACACAGCTAATGTATGTCAGAAGTGAGACTTGAACCGTGTTCTTAATTTCTAAGCTAGCTCTCTATCCATTATGCCACACTGCCTCCCATCTTCTTCTCTTCTTCCCCCACTCCCCAATCTCTCTTTATCTTGTTTCTCTCATAAATATACATATATGTAGTTTTGTATGTATATATGATATACACACATATATGCATAACCACATATATGGATAAAGAGCTCACATAAACACACATGATCTATTTTATGGTAATAATGGGAATGGGCAGTCCCATTGGCTATAAATATAAACATGTGAAACTGGGGAAAATAAGTATTATAAGGATTTTATAGAATAACCTCTATTTAAGATAACTGAAATCATTTAAAAAGTCTTATTGCACACACTTATTAAAGAAATAAGAACAGTTTCTACTCAAAGGCATTTGCATACTCACACTCAGCTCCTTTATTGATAAATAGGGATAAAATGTATTTTGTGCCTGCTGAAAAGGCAAACAATTAAAGAGAGAGTACTCAGATCATGGCTGTGCCACTTCCTAATGTTAGAACCCTTGGCATATCAAACCTCTCTGAGCTTCAGATTCCTCCTATATAGAATGGAGGAATCATAGTACTGATAATGAATATTTATATAGTGCTTTAAAATGTGTGAAGTACTTTATTTCATTTGAGCCTCCCAACAACCTTGTGAGGGGAAACACTGAAGGTATTTTTACTGTTTACCAATGAAGAAAGTGTTGCTCAGTAAGTCAACTTTGGTCATAGAGCTATTTATTTGGTGCATGGCCTTCTCTTAGAAACACAGGTTCTGTACTCAAGATGCACCATTCTTACTATACTATGATGTTTCTCATATCATAGGGTTTTCTTGTATGTCAAATGAGAACTTTAAATAACTAAAGTATAGACCTACTTGTGTCCCTTCCCTAATCAAAGATCTTCTGTGATTCCCTATTACCTCTAGGGAAATAACAAACTCCTCAGCTTGGCATTTAACATCTTCCATAGTTTGACTCCAGCCTTCTTCTTCAGGTTTATTTCACTTTATTTTCCTTCAGATACTACATGTATTTCAGTCAAATTGGCCTACTTTTTGACCTTAGAAATCTATATTATATCTTCTGCCTAAACTGCCCCCCAGCCTATGACTGGAATGTACATCACTCCTCCTCCACACCTAAGAAGCTTATCTCCCACTAGTTTTTAGTATTTTTTTCTTCAGATTATCTTGTATTTAGTTATCCATTTAGGTGCTGTATCCCCCTGCCCAGTAGATTATAAGCTAAGTGAAGGCAACAACTTTTTGTGTGTGTGAACTCTGCGTGTTAAAAGGAGTCACTAAATGCTTCTTGAGTTAAATTGAACTAACTTCTGCAAAATGCTTTATAAATGTTTAGGTATTACTGTTCTATGCAGGGAAAATCCCTGATAGTCATACTTGTAAAATAAAGAAGAGAAAGAACTTTGTACTCTCGAATATTCAAATCTAATCAGAGAATAACTTGGCAGCAGTCTGATCTCTCATCTGAGTTCATTTGATGTAATGGAACATGTTGGGGGGCAGGGGGAGAGAAAGAAGGCAAGACAATTCAGTAGTTTTAGAAGTTGATTTTAAAAGTAGTACTTTGTATTTTGACAGATTTTTGGGGCATACGCAACTCATCCGTTCAAGTTCAGTGACCATTATTACGGCACAGGAGAAACTTTCCTCTACACTTTCAGCCCGAATTTCAAGGTGACTACTTGGGGGCAAAGTATAATGTGATGCCCCTGTTTTCCCCGGGGAACACTGAAACAGAAAGTGTACTATAGACCAACCTCATGTAACCCTTGTTGAATAACAACCCTAGTCAGTTCAGCACAGCTGCCAGGCATATCAGTTATGGGCCCTGGCACAACAAAGCCTGTATTCCTGGAATCTATAGGTGCCTATTAGTGATCGAGGTTTGCTCAAAGGATGTTCTCCAAGCTCAGTCACTCTAGATTTGGTCCTAGCTGAAGAAGTCAAGAGCATCTTCAAGCAAATGGATTGTTTTCAGTCTCCATCCTCATCCCCAAGATAACATGTTGATGATAGTCACTTCTCAATAAATCCCTAAAATTAAAAATATCCCCTCTTTTGTTTGTGTTTATTCTGCACATCCTAGGTATTCAAGTGGAGTGGAGAAAACTCTTATTTCATCAATGGGGATATAAGTTCTTTAGAACTTGGTGGTGGAGGGTAAGTTTTTAAATATTTCATTTGACATGAACAACCTTTATTTGACTCAAGTAACCAAAATGTGGATGTCAAAAAGTTTTAGTCATTGTGTCATATTAACTGAAATTCTAGATTTTCACATCAGCAAGACTGAAAGCTAAAATTACATATTACTACAAGACCTTGTTTTCATTGTACTTGTAAATTAAGAACTGTGTAGGCTCCATCATTTAAAATCAATGAAAAGAAAGTTCTTTATATCTATTTGTTTCCAAAATCAATTGTTGATTATTTTCCTTCTCTTTTTAAGAAGGGATCAAACTTTTATTTTCATTAATGTATTACCCAAGATACTGAAAGGTTATGATTTGTCTGAGGTCACACAGCCAGTGTATGTAATAGGTAGGAACCCAGGTATTTCTGACTCACAAGTGCTATATACATTATACCACACTGCCTCTCTGTTAAATAAATAACAGAAAAAAAACATCAAGTGAGCCGAGTGGGAATTTATATTGTTATACAAAACTTAATGGTAGAGATGTGATTTTTTTAGCCAGTCTTTATTATCCATCAACAAGCATTTATTAAATGCCTACTATGTGCCAGCCACTATGCTACAAAGAGAAAAATGAAACAGTTTCTACCTTCAAGGAGTTTACATTCAGGTTAAACAGTAAGTACATAATATAACTAAATGCAAAATATTTACAAAATAATTTACTGGAACTGGGGAGGGGAGGAGGCACTAGTTATTAGAGGGGTAAAGAAAGGCTTCATGTAGGAGGTGACTCTTAAGGCGACCTTTGAAGGAAGCTAGGGGTTCTAAGAGACCAAGATGAGGAAGGAGTGCATTCTAGGGATGGGAGAGAGCCTATGCAAAGGCATGGAGGTAGGAGATAGAATTTTTTTTCAGCTTGTGTTTTTCATTCTGTTTAAAACTTTTCTTCCAGTGGAAGATTTGGTCTGTGGTTAGACGCTGACCTATACCATGGACGAAGCAACTCCTGCAGCACTTTCAATAATGATATCCTTTCGAAGAAGGAAGACTTCATAGTTCAAGACATAGAAGTATGGACATTTGAATGAAATTCAGACTGCCTTAAAAATAAAAATAAAAATAAAAATAAAGACTGAATTCAATCAGCCCTCTTACAACTGGCTGGAAAATGAAATCCCAGCACAGGCTGCCTAGTAACATCCCATAATGTTTTCTTTTGGAAACCATCCCAGAGCATGATTCCATAATGGGAAGGTTCTGACAACTACCTGGGAGAGGCAGAAAGTGAAGCTTGAGAATGGAAGACTAGATTATTACTAGACTTTTTACTCCCATCTCCCTCAAACTCCTACAATAAAGAATCAAGAGTGTTTATAGATGTATGGGTTGAAGGCAGTTTTTATTTTTGGTAACTGTGAACAAAGATACTGTGGAATTATGTGTATAGTATATGCCTTGTGTATTTATATCAATTTGCATTGTCCAAACCTACAGCATCGTATTGTTTGCCATGGAAAAAGGTTTAACTTGTTTGGAAGAAATTCAAAATTTGCAGCACTTAAAGGGAATGTGGGATTTTTTTTAAAGAGCAACTTTATTTATTGTTTTTAGTACGTTGTCTGAAATTTGTTAGCAGTTTTTTCTTTTAATGTTTTAAATCTTGGATTTAAAAGAATGCCTAGATTTGTGTGCTGTTTTGGCAACAAATTCATTTGTTTATATAGTTTTATATTGATATTTTTCATTTTGCAGAGAAAATGTATTTGTTTTTAATTTTGCCCTAATTATTCTAGGGTTTTTTTTGGCAGCATCTGACATAATGTATACATTCCTATTAGATAGAGACATTGACTGCCTAATTTTGAATTCTTTTTTAACTTCACTGTTGCCAACTTAACTATCTGAGGCCAACTTGTCACTTCAGAAGTGGAAGCAATAAAAGCCTTCTAGCAAGGGACCAAGACATGTGCTCCTTCATTTGGAGATGATAAGAGAAACTGACTTCTTTATGAGGTGAGGCCAGCTTTAGAAATTACTAGATAAAATAAATGTTTTTGGCAGGGAAAAATATCATTTAAATAGAAGAAAATTTGTTACCTCTTAAAAACCACATGTTTTCATAGCAAAAGCTCCATTTTCCAGTCTAATCTATTCTCTGTCCCCACCCCATCCCCAGCTTTTTCATTAAGGGACAGACTTACTCCTCTTAAAAAAGAGAGATGGTTGACTTATGGTTTCCTCTATTTTTTTCCTCTTTACATGAAAAGTTTAAAATTAGCCTAACGATCTTTGTTTTGAGTCTTCTTTCAGTTGCCAGAGGCAGTGCCAGAAGAAACCTCAGCGATTACACAAGAAACCAGAATTTAAAAAAAAAAAGAAAAGAAAAAAGAAAGAGTACTCTCTTTGGCACTAGCCAATTTTCACATCTTGAAAATACTTCATTCATTTTGCCAAGATAATAAAAAGCAAAGGCTATATTGTTGATCGATAGATTCTGATAGGTACTAAGGATTGTACTGGTAAAAAATAATTTCAGAATAACCCAAACTGAGATTGGTTGGTCATAAATTGAATCCACTTTTTTTTTAAAGGTTATACTTGAAAAGTTTTGTATATATCTATATGATATAAAAATATGATTTGGAACATTTGTCTTAAGCTGGCAGCAAGTCTCCTTTAGATGTCCTGTCATTTATAGACACTTGAAAGGGAACCATGCCAAGTAGCCTCCTGGCAGATCAGCAAATCATTTGCTCCACACACATTCCATGCAATTTAAAGTAGCTGCTATGAAATATTAAATCTGTAACCTGCGTGTGCTTTTTTTTTTAAATATACCCAGATCCTATCCCTTCCACTTGAAACACCAAATTCTGGCATATCTACTATAAACTTAGCTCAATAGCTACTCCTAGCATCTTGTATGTTGGTGAGAGATATCAGGAATGCCTCATGATAATCACATGTGGCATTTTTACCATTTGTAAACCACCCACTGGTAAGCAAAACATTAACATTTTGCACATGTTTCACTCTTGTTATCTACAGTTTATCCCATGATACTGTATTTGCCAGTGCATAATCAAACACTGTGTTCTCTATTTAAAACAGTATTGTTCGATCAAAACTTTGTGACCCTTCATCTATGAATATTGAATATATGTAATGCAGTGCTATCCCAATATTTTCAATAAAGGAATTTATGCATTCAGTGTGGCATTCATTATGCTTGAAAATTTTTCCAAAGTCTTTTCCCTCCAGAATAAGTTATCATTGATTCAGCATGCCATAATCCCAGCCTAAGCAAAAAGCAACATAGATAATTAACACCTAAGTTTGTGTTTTTATTCTGGAATCCTCCCACTGCCTTTGTTCTCCTTGCTTACTACTCCCATTCTAATTGATATTTTCTAGGTTTTATTTAGAGACATGATATTCTCCTAACAATTTTTTTCTGTTTTGCTGTATTTTCTCTGCCTCCTTCATAAACTTCCCACATCTTATCCCTATATTGATGGTGAATGGACCCTTGTACTCTTTCTTTTTCCCTTTTCTCTGAATTGAGTCAGCCTAAACATTTCTTAAGTGCCAAGGATACAAAAAGAGGCAAAAGGCAGTCCCTACCCTCAAGGAACTTATAATCTAATGAGGGAGACAAGTAAACAAATATGTACAAACTACACACAGAAAAAAATACAGAATAATTAAAAAGAAAGAAGGCACTAGAATTGAGTCAGGAAAGCCTTCCTGTACAAGATAGGATTTTAGTTGGTGTTTAAATCCAGGGAAGCTATTAGGTAGAAATGAAGAAGGAGAGAATTCCAGGCATGGGGGACAGTCAGGAAAAAATGTCCAGAGCCAAGAGATGGAGCATCTTCTTTGAGGAACAGCCAAATCATTGCCATTGGATCAATGTGTACATGGTGGAGAGTGAAGTACACAAAGACTGGAAAGGTTGGAGGGGACTAGGTTATGAACAGTTTTGAACTCCAAAGAGAAGATTTTGTTTCTGGTCCTGGAGGCAATAGGGAGCCATTGGAGTTTATTGAGTAGGGAGTTGACATGGTTGGACCTGTACTTTAAGAAAATCACTTTGCTGGCTGAATGGAGGATGAATTGGAATGGGGAGAACTTGAGGCAAGCAGACACACCAAAAGGCTATTGCAATAATCCAAGCATGAGGTGATGAAGGCTTTCACTAGAGAGGTGGCAGTGTCAGAGGGAGAGGAAGAGATAGAGATAGTGAGTTTAGGATGACACCCAGTTTGTAATCCTGAGGGATTGGGAGGATGGTATTGCCCTCAACAGTAATAGGGAAGTTAAAAGATGTGGGGGAGGGAAGGTTAGGGGGGAAAGAGAATGAGCTCAGTTTTGAACATGTTGAGTTTAAGATGTCTGAAAGGCAGTTGAAAGATTGGAGGTCAGCAGAGAGATTAGGGCAAGATAGGTAGATCTGAGAACCATCAACATAGAGATGTTAATTAAATATATGGGAGCTGATGCTATCACCAAGTGAAGTAGGATAGAGGGAGAAGAGAAGAGGGTCCAGGATAGAACCCCAAGGGACACCTACGTGATCCAGGTGATGACCCAGCAAAGTAGACTGAGAAGGAACAGTGTGATGTGTAGAAGGAAATCAGGAAAGAGTAGCATCCTGAAAACCTAAAGAGAAGAGAATATCATGAAGAGGGTGATCAACAATGTCAAAGGTTGTAGACAGTTGAGGAGAATGAGGATTGAAAAAAGTTAGTTGGATTGGGCAATTGGCAATTAAGAGATCATTGATAACTTTGGAGAGAGCATTTTCAGTGGAATGATGAAGTCAGAAGCTAAATTGTAAAGCGTTAAGGATTGAGAGGAGATAAAAGTAAAGGCATCTATTGTAGACAGCCTTTTTCAAAGACTTTAGCCACAAAGAGCAAAAATGATATAGGAAAATAATTAGCAGGAATGGAAGGATTAAGTGAGGGGTTTTTCAGGATGAGAGAGACGGGCATATTTGTAGGCAGTAGGGAATGAGCTAGTAGAGAGGAAGAGATTGAAGATAGGGACAGAGTGGTGATGGCAAAGGGGGAAATCTGTTGAAGGAAACAGGATGGAATGGGATCACTTGCTTACATAGAGGGGTTAAGGAGTAAGACCACCTCCTCATGAGAGACAGGGGAAAAGGAAGAGATAGTGACAGAAGGTATATGAGTGATATGAAATGAGGAGGGGAGAAAAGGGCACTCACAGTGAATGGCCTCAATTTTTTCTATAAAATATGAGACAAGTTTCTCAGCCGAAAAAGTAGGAGCAGAGGGAGCCATGGGAGGCTTGGGGAGGATGGAAATGTTTGCAAGAGCCATTGTGGAGAGTTGGATAGTGAGTTGATAAAGGAAATATAGGATGATTGCCAAGCAGCAGTGAGGTCCCGTTTAAGGTTGTATGTATAACAAATTTGTAATAGACCCAGTCAGAATGGTTACGTGATTTTCTTCACCTTCATTCAGCAGCACACATTCAGTAGCAAAGTCAGAGGATGGTGGGAGTCATCCAAGGCTAAGGTTTGGCTGGGAAGGTGGGGGGAGTGGTAAGAAGACCTTTCTTCTCCTATTGGTGTGCTGTTATCTGTTATCCTAGTCCTTAGAATAGTGTCTCATCTTTGCATTTTCTGAGACAGCAGGGATTTGGGGTCAAGACCTTGTTTTTCTATGTGTCCCTATGAACAGATGTAGGAAAATACAAATTGGAACTTAGTTGGACTGTTTGGCAGGGGAAGGGCCCAGACCAGAGGTGTTTCTATACAGTTTCTAGTTTATAGGTTATTCAACCATGTGACTTGGTCTTCTGCTGGACTGTTGTAGCACTCCTTAGCTTGCTTGAGGGTAGCCTGTAAATTTGCCTGGCACTTCTTGAAGCTTGCTCAATAGTCACTGATTTAAATGACTGAATAGAGTAGGGCTCAGGTTGGGGAAAGGTCTTTACTATAATTCCAGATGACATGCAGCTAAGGTAGAGATGGGGCACTTCACTACCTCCAGTCTACCCAATCATATGAAAACTTGGAAAGCTGTTTCTTAAACTGTTTCCCTATCATCAAAGTCATTGATCTGATGCCATGCCAGCTACAGTCCCCAGCACCCTCAAAATTCTCCACATGGTTTATTGTTCATTCCCTTGTCAACTCCCATAACCCCCAACTGTACTCAATTTCATCATGCAAATGCAATCACTCTTTCTTACTGAAGCAAGAAACAGAGGAGTTAGAGGACTCAAGAAGACACAGACATAACCAATCCAAAGTAACACAATGAATATAATGGTTAAAGACTAAAAGAATAACCTAAGAGCCAATCCTTCACTGTCAGCATTCTATTAAGCCAGAGATATATCCCATCCAAGGGAGGGCTCATGGTGGGGAGAAGAGAAGGATTGTAGAAAGGAGAAGATGATGTTACGGCTTCTTAACTTGGGGTTTGTTTGAATTTTAAAAAAATATTTTATAACTATACTTCAACTTGTAATCCTATGTATTATTTTGCATTTAAAAATACTATTTTAGAAAAGGATCCATTGACTTTATTAGGCTTCACTGGGGGTCCATGATACAGAAGTTAAGAACCCCTACTCCAGGCCTACCTACTACCCTTTGTCTACCCTCAGGATGACTCCCCATTGCCAGACTCAATGGTTGGAGAAAGGACTTTGAAGACACTTTCCCCTTACAGAGACCTTTTCTTTGCCATTTAAGTGGGGGCCATTTAAGTCTGGGTCAGCTCATGCATGCCAGAGGTGTACTTGTAAGCAAATACCCCATCATTCTGTTAAATAGACTCTTCCTCTTTATCAGTATGAAACAGTTTGATCCCTGTGCTACTCTAAGGGAAGAGAAATGTTTGGAGGACTAATTCCTTTCCTGTGGCTTCTGCCATATCCTGCCATTAACTTCTTTCTAGCCTGACAGTCTGTAGCTTCCTTTCTCCCAGGATTCGGCAGCTTTAAGTGTTCTGTACAGGCTATCTTCTCAAAGGTGGGTGGATGATATCCTTTCCCCAATGCATATATGATTTTGGGGAGAGAAGTAGCTCTGGAGAGAGGAAAGGTCTTTTCTTCTAAGGAACCCCTTCAACCTTGAGAAATTGCCCACGCTGACTAATTCTGCTTTGTTCTAAACGCTAGAGCAGTGGTTTACAAACTTTTTTGATGGCACATTCATTTAAGTAATAAAATTTTGAACACACACACTCTATTATATATGTGTACATATATACACACAGACACATACACATGTACATGTAGAAATGAAGTTTGGCCACAAAGGACACGTACTTTAGATGCCATGTACTTACAGTCACAGAGAGGCCAGGATGAGGTAATGGACAAATTAAAATAGTCTGATTAGGGTGCAGGGATGGGCTGCTCCATTTTGTACATCTCATTGAATTATCAGCTTCTCCAGCTCCGCAACCCCTCAGCAAAGTCACAATGGCCAGAAGCAGTACCCTCCCCTCTCCCTACAAAAAAAAAAAGCTTCCACAAAGTCACCTAGAACCAGAAATGATGATTCTGAGCTTGCTTCATGTGGAAGTTGGCTAGTGCCATAGAATGTAAGCTACCTGAGGGCAGGCACTGTTTTGATTTTTGTCTTTGTATTTCAGTGTTCAGTCCAGAGTCCAGTTGTTTTTCAATTATTTCTGACTCTTTGTGGCCCAATTTGGGGTTTTCTTGGCAAAGATACTAGAGTTTGCCATTTCCTTCTCTAGCTTATTTTGCAGATGAAGAAACTGAGGCAAACAGGGTTAAGTGACTTGCCCAGGTCATATAACTAGTAAGTGTCTGAGGCCAGATTTGAACTCAGGAAGATGAGTCTTCCTGACTCCAGGCCCACCACTCTATCCACTGTGCCACCTAAATGCTTATTGAATTTATATTTACATACAAACACACACACACAAACACACACACACACATACATATAAAATGTATATGTATATTTGTACATCTCTTTCTCTATTATACATAGCCCTTACCTGTGTTCATCTATTGGGAAATGAGTGACTATGAACCCCGAAAAACAATGAGTTTACACACTATTCATAAAGGACAGTCATGAGAAATCACATCTGCAGGACCAAATAAAAACACACCTGAACTGGGCTTTAATTTTTTAAATTTTATTCCTTTCAGCCATCAGTGTTGGTGAATACTCACCATTCCTCACCCCCTAAT